CGTACTTGTTGCAGCTGATATCTGTTACAGATATCCTCCTTTCGGAGAACGTACTTAGTGCAGCTGATATCTGTTATGATTATCATTACCCTTCTGAAGCACATATTCAGTGCAGCTAGTATCTGTTACGGATATCCGTAACCTTCCGGAGCACATATTTAGTGCAGCTTATATCTGTTCTGGATATCTAACTTTTCGGAGCACGAACTGAGTGCAGCTGATATCTGTTACGGATATCCCTACCCGTCCGGAGCACGTACTCAGTGAAGCTGATATCTGTTACGGATATCATTATCCATTCGGAGCACGTACTTAGTGCAGCTGATATCTGTTACGGCTATCCTTCTCCGTCCAGAGCACGTACTTAATGTAGCTGATAACTGTTACAGATATCCGTACCCTTTTAGAGCACGTACTTAGTGCAGCTGATATCTGTAACGAATATTCCTCTCCTTCCGGAGCACGTACTGAGTGCAGCTGATATCTGTTACGGATATCCTTCTCCTGCCAGAGCACGTACTTAGTGCAGCTGATATCGGGTATGGATATCCATACCCTTCAGGAGCACGTACTTAGTGCAACTGATATCTTTTGCGGATATCCTTCTCCTTCCGGAGCACGTACTTAGTGTAGCTGATATCTGTTTTGAATATCATTACCCTTCCTGAGCATGTACTTAGTGTAGCTGATATCTGTTACGGATACCCGTACCCTTCTAGAGCACGTACTTAGTGCAGCTGATATCTGAAACGAATATTCCCCTCCTTCCGGAGCACGTACTGAGTGCAGCTGATATCTGTTACGGATATCCTTCTCCTTCCGGAGCACATACGTAGTGCAGCTGATATCGGGTATGGAAATCAATACCCTTCCGGAGCACGTACTTGTTGCAGCTGATATCTGTTACAGATATCCTCCTTTCGGAGAACGTACTTAGTGCAGCTGATATCTGTTATGATTATCATTACCCTTCTGAAGCACATATTCAGTGCAGCTAGTATCTGTTACGGATATCCGTAACCTTCCGGAGCACATATTTAGTGCAGCTTATATCTGTTATGGATATCTAACTTTTCGGAGCACGAACTGAGTGCAGCTGATATCTGTTACGGATATCCCTACCCGTCCGGAGCACGTACTCAGTGAAGCTGATATCTGTTACGGATATCATTATCCATTCGGAGCACGTACTTAGTGCAGCTGATATCTGTTACGGCTATCCTTCTCCGTCCGGAGCACGTACTTAGTGCAGCTGATATCTGTTACGGATATCCCTACCCTTCCGGAGCTACTTAGTGCAGATGATATCTGTTATGGATATCCATACCCTTCCTGAGCACGTACTTAGTGCAGCTGATATCTGTTACGGATATCCCTACCCTTCCGGAGCTACTTAGTGCAGATGATATCTGTTATGGATATCCATACCCTTCCTGAGCACGTACGTAGTGCAGCTGATATCTGTTACGTTATTCATATGTTAAATTCAACCTACACTTAGTAAGTGGTTTATTGTTGTCCCAGACTACCAGGTTCCCTATATGTGTAGCTGTCAAAACTCGAATGCTGTTTCTCTGGAAAATAGACTGGCTATATCTTCCAACCTGTTTGTTGAAATCCTGGTCAGTCAGAGGTGGGGCATAGTATTCCATGTGTCCATCATTCTATAAGAAAACATTCACTGTACGTATGAAAACAAGATGCGGGGTATGTGCCAATGAGACAACACAACCAAACTAATTTTAATCAATTAATTGAGAACTGAAATTAATTATTGATTATCCAGTTTCTGTCAGTTAATAATGTAGTTCAGAACTCTTTATATATGTCAGGATTTTGGAGAGCATATTTTACCAAGCAGTGAAATATCAACTTGCCAAATTTGTTTTAAAATTATGAATATAATGACATTGATGTTTTGGCCAATAAAAAACACAAATTACATCCTACATTGACCAACTGTTAATATTCTGTTCTGTTTTTTTTATGTTTTATTCCTGGTTTGATTTGTTTATAAGATAGTTGTAAATAATAACCTGGCATGTGTCCTGTTGGCATGCATTGTAGTCTAGTAAAACTTCAATTTTCTTTATAGATAGGATGTAATTCTCACTTACCCAATGATAAAATATGACTTGTGATTCACTGTTCGTCACCAGATAGTGTATATCATCAGGATTAATTAAAAATAAAATTCTGTAATCCAAACTTAGGATTCAACTCGGCTGTACACATAGGGGATTCCCCATCTACAGTCCAATTCCATATTGACAAAACCTGAAACAAGAAGGCTCAATTAATGTAGGCATATCTAAAATCTCAAAAAAAGAATGTTCAATATATCTCTTCTTTGTTTGTCAAATTATAATAGAAGGACAGAGGTCAATATCAACGCCAGCTATAATGTAGTGAGCTGATATGGCAATGTGTGTTTATTTGAGTGAAGAAAAATATATTGAAAACTCTATTTATAATGTTTTGAAAATTAAATGTCAGATGAGATGGGTGTCAACATATTGATTTTTTTCACTTTTTTTTGCAATTTATTTTATAACACAGTCAGGGATAAAACTTATACCAATAATTACTATTTCAGCAGACTGTCTGATAATTCAAATGCTTTTTGAGATACTTTAGTTTACATGAGGATACTTAGGTATTAAAGAATTATTGCACCACTGCACTATATTATTTACACAGACAAGTTTAAGCATGATCTGCAATAAAAGTATAATGCTTTCAAGTTTAAGAGAGATATTACGATAACAAGTCTTAGTCAAATTACTGACAACTTAAAGTTTGTTATAATCATATTTTTTTTAGGCTTAGCATCTATCAGATAATACAAGGGACAGTCACAATTTCTGGTAATGTCTTTCATGTTACGTTTAAGTTAAAAACAATATTCAATAAATAACTAATGCATGATGAAACATATAATACTGAGTCCAACCTTATTCAATTTGTCGTAACAAGATTTTTTTTTAAAAATACCCTCTACAGAAAAACAAATGAAATTTTTTATGACAAAGGGAAATAACTCTAAAGGTTCTATTTTCTTTACTGACATAACTGTAATAGTTTGATTCGTTGATGATTGCTTAACATCATGTAATAGTTTGATAGAAATATTTCAATGGTAAAGCAAGATATTTTCGCATTTAGAATGTTTTAAATACATCAATATTGGAAAATGGCCAAATTGGTTAATCAAGTCTTAAGATATTGTAACAACAAATTTACATGATGCAAAGCATAGCCAAAATTGCTGTTATTTACCCGGTGTAAGTGTCCCAGATAGTGACCATACTGTTCACTTCCTTGTCTCCTGTAGCTAACCATCTTTTATCTTCACTAACACATGTAGAGGTCAAGGGGTTTGACTGACAAAAAGAATTGAAAAACCATATTATATCTAGTATACATATTCTATATTACAATGTACACTAACTTAACTTTAGTATCCTGTTATTCCTGTTTGATCTAAATATTAACATACATATATATTTGTATCATAATAAAGGATAATGGTACTACATGTAGCTAATGTATGTCACCAAACATCACTTGTTAGGGTCAATTATAAGGAATCTACAATTTTCAATAAAAAAAACTACCTATAATTAATTTATAAATGTCAGCAATTCATTTTTGTGTTGTTTTGAGAATTGGAAAATAAAAATCAAGAAAATAAAAAGATGCCCCTAAAGAACCTAATGTATTTTAGATATATTAGAATCATATACATGTATATGTGAATCCATAAAAGGTAAAAATGGTATTGTGTTAGGTATTAGTTTAATTATTCATTTTTTTATAAATTCTTTTTTTCATGGTTACTATAATTATAATGAGATTCTAGAAATATTTTCATGGTAGTATTATGTTCAGATGTTTTGCTGTTCAAAAAAGGAAATCTAGTACCAGTAATGTGATTCCTTTAGAAATAACACTTACATGTCCTTGTAATATATGCTGTCTATTATTCTCAAAATCAAACAGTACACCAACATGTGCACAGGCATACATTATCAGTTTACGATTATCATCTGTCAAATTCAACACTTGGATATTTCTGTTTAATCCAAACGACCATACAATATTCTCAAAAGAAGAATTATAAATACTAATGCAACCATATAATCTTCAAACTTATTTTACCTTGTATATACACTTCTAGGAATATCATTGGTTAAAAGTGAACATGTGGGAACCGAGTATATTTAATAATAGGTCAATGGGTGTGTTTTATTTTAAATACACTGTCAGTGGCCGTGGTTTATTTTAAATACACGTTTAGTAGTAGAGTTATGTTCCTTCAAAAAATATTTAAAAATGGCGTTGTTCCAAAATTATCATACATAATACATAACATTTTCATGCTTTTAGACAATAACATGTCTTAAAGATGCTGACTTTCACACTGTAAATAATTGAATGTTCTGTTTAATGTCGTGTTTAAATTGTGATTTCCCAGCGTTGAGACGTGTCCATCGCAAGAATTAAGTCAATTTTGCTCCAACATCATTACATGTCTTCAAAATTAGGAGAAATGTAAGTATGTTGTGTTTTAAGCTTGGCATACCTAAAACATAGTTTTTTTTCTGTCACAAATTCAGTTAATGATGAGTCCAGTTGACAGTCATCACACTGTAGCCAATAAACTTACATGTTAAATTTGTTTAATATTTAGGACATCCTTATAAGAATTACATGTATGCTTAGGATACCTTAATTCTTATTCTAGCATGGTTTAGTGTGATTTATATTGTTCTGATAACACCTTATTACTATTTGTGATATTTTTAATTGACTTGAACTATTGACATTACACAACAATCACTTTCTTTTGAGAGGTCAACATTTAACAGGAACGACTGTGATGTCAAATAATGATAATTTTTTAAATTATGTGGATGCGATAGCATACTAAAGCAGTTGTGGCCTGTCTGGTGATGTTGATAATCTTTAAATTTATCTTACCTTGTATACACTTCTATATGGAATGGTTGATACCTCCATATGTCAATATGGAATGGTTGATAACTCCATATGTCAATATGGAATGGTTGATACCTCAATATGTCAGTATGGAATGGTTGATACCTCCATATGTCAGTATGGAATGGTTGATACCTCCATATGTCAGTATGGAATGGTTGATACCTCCATATGTCAGTATGGAATGGTTGATACCTCCATATGTCAGTATGGAATGGTTGATACCTCCATATGTCAATATGGAATGGCTGATATGTCAATATGGAATGGTTTATACCTCCATATGTCAGTATGGAATGGTTGATACCTCCATATGACAATATGAAATGGTTGATATGTCAATATGGAATGGTTGATACCTCCATATGTCAGTATGGAATGATTGATACTTCCAAATGTCAGCATGGAATGGTTGATACCTCCATATGTCAGTATGGAATGGTTGATACCTCCATATATCAGTATAGAATGGTTGATACCTCCATATGTCAGTATAGAATGGTTGATACCTCCATATGTTATTATGGAATGGTTGATACCTCCATATGTCAGTATAGAATGGTTGATACCTCCATATGTCAATATGGAATGGTTGATATGTCAATATGGAATGGTTGATATGTCAATATGGAATGGTTGATACCTTCTCATGTCAGTATGGAATGGTTGATACCTCCATATGTCAGTATTGAATGGTTGATACCTCTATATGTCAATATGAAATGGTTGATACCTCCATATGTCAGTATGGAATGGTTGATTCCTCCATATGTCAGTATAGAATGGTTGATGCCTCCATATGTCAATATGAAATGGTTGATACCTCCATATGTCAGTATGGAATGGTTGATACCTCCAAATGTCAGTATCGAATGGTTGATACATCCATATGTCAGTATGGAATGGTTGATACCTCCATATGTCAGTATAAAATGGTTGATACCTGCATATGTCAGTATGGAATGGTTGATACCTCCATATGTCAATATGGAATGGTTGATACCTCCATATGTCAATATGGAATGGTTAATACCTCCAAATGTCAGCATGGAATGGGTGATACCTCCATATGTCAATATGGAATGGTTGATACCTCCAAATGTCAGCATGGAATGGTTGATACCTCTATATGTCAATATGGAATGGTTGATACCTCCATATGTCAGTATTGAATGGTTGATACCTCCATATGTCAGTATGAAATGGTTGATACCTCCATATGTCAGTATGGAATGGTTAATACCTCCAGATGTCAATATGGAATGGTTGATACCTCCATATGTCAATATGGAATGGTTGATACATCCATTAGTCAGAATGGAATGGTTGATACCTTCACATGTCAGTATGGAACGGTTGATACCTCCTCATGTCAGTATGGTATGGTTGATACCTCCATATGTCAGTATGGAATGGTTGATACCTCCATATGTTAATATGGAATGGTTGATACCTCCATATGTCAATATGGAACGATTGATACCTCCATATGTCAGTATGGAATGGTTGATACCTCCATATGTCAATATGGAATGGTTGATACCTCCATATGTCAATATGTAATGATTGATACCTCCATATGTCAATATGGAAAGGTTGATACCTCCATTTGTCAGTATGGAATGGGTTGATATCTCCATATGTCAATATGGAATGGTTCATACCTCCATATGTCAATATGGAATGGTTGATACCTCCATATGTCAGTATGGAATGGTTGATACCTCCATATGTCAATATGAAATGGTTGATACCTCCATATGTTAGTATGGAATGGTTGATACCTCAAAATGTCAGTATCGAATGGTTGATACCTCCATATGTCAGTATGGAATGGTTGATACCTCCATATGTCAGTAAAGAATGGTTGCTACCTCCATATGTCAGTATGGAATGGTTGATACCTCCATATGTCAATATGGAATGGTTGATATGTCAATATGGAATGGTTGATACCTCCATATGTCAGTATGGAATGGTTGATACCTCCAAATGTCAGTATGGAATGGTTGATACCTCCATATGTCAATATGGAATGGTTGATATGTCAATATGGAATGGTTGATACCTCCATATGTCAGTATGGAATGGTTGATACCTCCATATGTCAGTATGGAATGGTTGATACCTCCAAATGTCAGCATGGAATGGTTGATACCTCCATATGTCAATATGGAATGGTTGATATGTCAATATTGAATGGTTGATACCTCCATATGTCAGTATGGAATGGTTGATACCTCCATATGTCAGTATAGAATGGTTGATACCTATTTATGTCAGTATAAAATGGTTGATACCTCCATATGTCAGTATGGAATGGTTGATACCTCCATATGTCAGTATGGAATGGTTGATACCTCCAAATGTCAGCATGGAATGGTTGATACCTCCATATGTCAATATGGAATGGTTGATATATCAATATGGAATGGTTGATACCTCCATATGTCAGTATAGAATGGTTGATACCTCCATATGTCAGTATAAAATGGTTGATACCTCCATATGTCAGTATGGAATGGTTGATACCTCCATATGTCAGTATGGAATGGTTGATACCTCCAAACGTCAGCATGGAATGGTTGATACCTCCATATGTCAATATGGAATGGTTGATATATCAATATGGAATGGTTGATACCTCCATATGTCAATATGGAATTGTTGATACCTCCTAATGTCAGCATGGAATGGTTGATACCTCCATATGTCAATATGGAATGGTTGATATGTCAATATGGAATGGTTGATACCTCCATATGTCAGTATTGAATGGTTGATACCTCCATATGTCAGTATGGAATGGTTCATACCTCCATATGTCAGTATGGAATGGTTGATACCTCCATATGTCAATATGGAATGGTTGATACCTCCATTTGTCAATATGAAATGGTTGATACATCCATATGTCATTATGGAATGGTTGATACCTCCATTTGTCAATATGGAATGGTTGATACCTCCATATGTCAGAATGGAATGGTTGATACCTTCACATGTCAGTATGGAATGGTTGATACCTCCATTTGTCAATATGAAATGGTTGATACCTCCATATGTCAGTATGGAATGGATGATACCTCCATTTGTCAATATGGAATGGTTGATACCTCCATATGTCAATATGGAATGGTTGATGCCTCCAAATGTCAGCATGGAATGGTTGATACCTCCATATGTCAATATGGAATGGTTGATATGTCAATATGGAATGGTTGATACCTCCATATGTCAGTATTGAATGGTTGATACCTCCATATGTCAGTATAGAATGGTTCATACCTCCATATGTCAGTATGGAATGGTTGATACCTCCATATGTCAATATGGATTGGTTGATACCTCCATTTGTCAATATGAAATGGTTGATACCTCCATATGTCAGTATGGAATGGTTGATACTTCCATATGTCAGTATGGAATGGTTGATACCTCCATATGTCAGTATGGAATGGTTGATACTTCCATATGTCAGTATGGAATGGTTGATACCTCCATATGTCAGTATGGAATGGTTAAACTTCCATATGTCAGTATGGAATTGTTGATACCTCCATATGTCAGTATGGAATGGTTGATACCTCCATTTGGCAGTATGGAATGATTGATACCTCCATATGTTAGTATGAAAAACCACACTCATTTAAAATGTTTTCAACAGTTATAAAAAACCCAATTCTTGTCATCTTTAGATTTCTCTCTTTTTGGTAAAGAGTTTATAGTCTATATTCTCGTTGTATTTTATAAAGCTAGTTTCACCCTTTAAATAACCTGTGATATATCAGTCAATTATTTTTTTTATTTCACGGGTTTCATTGCGTTTAGTTAGGTTTTTTTTCTATTAGAGGAATTAGGCCTCACTGAGTCTCCGTTTAAATCAATCTAATTAAAAATATAGATTTCTGATTTCTTTGTTTCGTTACTCTCATTAAGGAATGACTGTAATATTTTGTTTTATTCGAAATAACGTAAAAAATGTGGTGCACACTTTTAAATAACCCGCTACGCGGGTTATGCAGTGTGCACCACATTTTTGATGTAATTTCTTCATAGACAGAAAAAATATTACAGTCATTCCTTATAATGTAATTCTAAATTCCATTTTTAAGGAGTAAATCATGAAAAAAACGTCGATGACGTCACGGTCAAATGACAAAATTTTGTCTATGCGTTGATAGAGAAAAAACTTTCAACTAATCAGAAGACGTGTTACATCCAAAATTAAATTATTTTATAATACGAGCAAGCGAGTTGTGATAGATCTGAATTTTAATCAGATTGCAACATTAACAACAACAACAACAACAACACCATACGAACAAAACAAATAAAAAATAATATGTATATAGACATAAGATTGTCATCTTCCAAATGTATTAAAGAAAGAAATAGAATCTATAGAAGACTTGTTTCCGTAAAAATCAGAAACCAACAATTCAATTTATGTTATGACATTATACTCAACCGGAAACATACCGAGCCCAATAATAGACCCTCACATACACTTACTACTGCGGATCATTCTGATTGTTTGTTTGTGCATCTGCATCCAATGTTTGATACATTCATGAGGGTCTTCAATTCTGTATTCTTTAATTTTTAAGCCATTTTTCTCAAAGGTTTATAACTTTTGACCAATATTCTCTATTCGTTATAGTTTAACACCTCATTATTCTCTAATTTTTACTTTGTTTTGCATATTTTCCTCTATTCTCTGTCATATTTTACCCGTTATTGTCTATTCTGAAAACCCCATCCAGACCCTCATTTATGCATCATCAGGACGAGATCAAATGAGACAATAAATTTTAAACATAATAATAATAATGATAATGATAATAATAATAATAATAATAATAATAATAATAATAATAATAATAATAATAATAATAATATGTTTTTTTATTTAAAGCGGGTAAACACAGTTAGTTACAACAAACTAATCTTCCCTGAGGCCCTCAACGAATCAACTATGGTGCAAGGAACTTTAAACAGACAACCACTGGATAATGTGGGAGTTAAGGGCAGACATGACGCCAATGCAAACGCCCCCCCCCCCCCCTCATTTTACGATTGTCACATTAGAAGAATGTAATTGAAAAAAGGCGTTTTAAGTGCATGATAACTAGTCAAGATTTGTTCTGAGACGGTGTGACAATTGTAACTTACCAAAATTCATAAAGTATCTGACATGATAATAGAAAAAAGTTCTTCTTCTGTAAACAGCTGAACGCTAACTTATAATTGGTTTACATTAAATCCGCTTTGTATTAGTATATGACAAAATCTGACAGTTTTTTCTATCTTTCTATAAACTTGCTTTGGTTCCTGACAAGTTAACAAAAAAAGAAAATTAGTTGGATTTTATGCGTGAAAAGGTAGTGAGAAAATCTTAATGAAGTAAGAATTTACAAGGTCTAATGCATCACACATGTTCTTATTGCCCCCGATGATGATGTGACTATACTTTCGAATACAAGTCTGAACATTTGTTATATCGTCATTTAGTTAAAACCGAAATTTTCGAATCATACATGGTAATTGATGATGGCATACAGAACATGTTTCTAAAAGCAGTCCAGTCTACTAGTATTTGTAAATTAATCTTTAATATGTGAAATTAGTTTACCTACAAACTGAGCCATGACCATCAATATGGCATTATATACCTGTCACAAGTAAGAAACAAAGTCTTTTATTTCCTAGGTCTTATCGTATGCTCTAGAAGTGGAAAATCTGCGTGTTGATTGCAGTTTTTTGATTGATTCTATTTAATTTACTCTCAGCATTTTTTTAGATTTCAAGATTGACATATCGTCTCAACAGTGTATATTGATGACATATCATACATACCTCATCTCCTTTTTTTATATTATCATTGTATCCTGCAGTTAGAGCTTATCATCCCTGCCTATAGCCAATGCGTATCATTGTGTTCTGCAGTTAAAGCTAGTCATTCCATCCTGTAGCCAAAACTTATTGTATCCTGTAGTTAAAGCTATTTATGCCTACGGCCAAAACATATCATTGTATCCTGTAGTTAAAGGTAGTCATTCCTGCTTATAACCAAAGTTTATCCTTCTATCCTGTAGTCAAAGCTAGTCATTCTCGCCTGTAGCCAAAGCTTATCATTGTATCTTCTAGCTAAAGCTTGGAATTCTCTCTTGTAGCCAAAGTTTATCATGCTATCTTGTAGTCAAAGCTAGTCATTCCTACTTATAGTCAAAGTTTATCATTATATCCTGTAGTCAAAGCTAGTCATTCCCGAATGTAGTCAAAGCTATTCATTCCAGTCAGTTATCAAAGCTAGTCATTCGTTCAGGTAGTCCAAGCTAGTCATGCGATCCTGTTTTCAAAGCTAGTCACTCCATCAGGTAGTCAAAGCTAGTCATGCCATCCTGTTTTCAAAGCTAGTCACTCCATCAGGTAGTCAAAGCTAGTCATGCCATCCTGTTTTCAAAGCTAGTCACTCCATCAGGTAGTCAAAGCTAGTCATGCCATCCTGTTTTCAAAGCTAGTCACTCCATCAGGTAGTTAAATAAATCATCATATCCATTAGTCAAAGCAAGGCATTTGTATTTCATGTCTCTATACTAGAGTCGTAATGAAGTCGAATCTAATCGTTTATAATAAATTGTACATATCTTTATAGATTGATATTTCAGTCGCATAGGAACTACAGTGTCAGTGATGTATTTGATTCAAAGTATCTTATTGTTCGAATTAAACAAAGGGATTAGACAAAAGGCAAAGCCTTTATTAATCCTTTTCCATACAAGATAGATTGAAATAATATACCAGTTTTTATTAACCAGTTTAGTGCACTATGTACGAAAGTGCCTATTTGTTAAAATTGAAATTTCCCAAGAATCAAGACTTATCTTATTTTACCCAGTTGTTAAGTTAGTAATTACATAATACATTCCATGATGTCTATCAATTTATTTAATAAATTTTGAGTTTTAAAATCCCGAATGATACAAATACAAATATTAACTAAAGAAGCCAATGCCAAACATCACATGATATGTACACTTTTGGAACTCAAGGCAAACTATACCGGACACCGGGATATTTCAATCAGTTAGCCTAAATTGAGAATAGGCACTCTGGATTATACAAACTTCGGATTTTTGTGAACTTTTTTCATCTTGGATTTTGTGAACTTTAGACAATAGGCCAGATGATTTGCATAAAATTTATATTTGTATATAGTGCCTGTTTATCTTTTAATTTTGAGTAAATATAATTATATATAAAAAATACAAATAATATTTTGTAAGTCGCATCTTTTGTGTCATTTTTTTTTTAATCGTGACATTATCACAAATATAAAAATCTTCTGAGGAAGTAAAATTCCACCCACAGCTAGGATTACTATACATCTACCGGTCCCAGCCTCCATGAATGTAATAAAAAGTTATATTTCACACCCAGTTTCTTTATGTAATGTTGTTTATAATAAGTGTTACTGTATGGATCGGTCTTTAAATCTTTCCTTTTGGTTTAATAGACGTATTACTTTAAGTTTCATTATACTATTGTTTCTGTTCAATAACTGCGTCTGATAGTTTTGGGGATGAAGATCAATTCATTTCTTCATAGTTTGAAGAAAGACATAAATGTTACGTTTGCTTAAGCTGTGTTGAAATCATGTACAGATTTGTTATGGTCATTGCACAATATCAGGTCAACTTTATACTGTTTATGACGTTGATGTATGAAATCTTCTTGAAGTACAGCCACCGATATTAGAGTTTATCGTACTTCTCTTCGCTTATATTATAATGTTACTCAGTCGCTACGTAATTCTCATATCACGTGAGGAGAACTTATCATCGACGTCACAATATGACAGCAGAACATATCTTAGCTTTCGTTCGGACAACCAAGCGAAAAACTGTCTAAGGGCAAGAGAAAAATCCAGAAATGCTTATCTGCGTATCATATATATCCTAAAATATTAGTCGCTCCATACAATGCGAAGTTTCATTTGTCCTTCGCTGCATTCACTCTCCAAAATGGTATTTTACGATATCAAAGTGCAGGAAAACCGATAATGTATACGTAGGACGCTTGGTTTATTATAAAGATACAATGAGACCGAATCTGAATTTAAATCATTTTGAATGCATTAACCACAAATAATTATAGGTTAATACGAAGATTTTGATCGCGAAAAAAAAAAACGAAATCGTGCGAACTGCCACTCCACGAACTACACATGTTGAACTGAAATCTATCCGTAATTTCCAAAGTAAAGATTGATTGATTGATTGTTGGTGTTATAACGCCACTTTTAATCGCCACATTTGGGCTATTTCGTGGCGGCCAGTTTTTATTTTATTGGTGGGGGAAGCCGGAGTACCCGGAGAAAACCACCGGCCTTCGATAGGAAAACTGACAACCCTAGTCAATTAAGATTGGAGTCGAGTGCACCCGCACGAGCGGGGTTCGAACTCACAAACTCAGTATTGTTCCCCCCCCCCCAAAAAAAAGGTAAAGAATACTTAGACTAATGTAATAATGTTACTGAAATTTTAGAAAG